AAGCTGTTTCTCTCTGATATGCTTCATAACAGGGCAGAAAACACATCTCATGGCTTAATGCTGTATAAAGGACACAAATGCTCAATTATTAATTAAGGTAACATTTTATTTGAAGGTGTCCTTGTTACACAAGTTACTTGTACTTACTATTATAATCACAATAAATTATGCATAATTACATGCAAGTAACCCTAAGCCAAACCCTAATCCTAACCCTAACCATATAGTAAGTACATGTAGTTAATTAATACTACTCAGTACTTAAATGTGTAATTACACTGTAATAAGGACACCTTAAAATAAAGTGCAACCATAAATAAATGAACTGATACTAATCATTACCCTGCCAGGCGGTGTTGATGTGTGCTGTTCTATCTCCTGATTGGTGGGCTGAGACACACAGGCAGTCGAGCGCGTGAGTTTGGTCTCTGAGCTGCAGCGTGGCGTGGGTCGAGTCCAGCTCCAGAACCCCCAGTAACAGCAGTGGCTCCGGGGCCACATCCGTCAGCGGGACCTTGTGAACGGACCAGGACAGCGCCGCATTCAGCTCCAGCGCCGTCATGTGAGCCGCGGACGCAGGCAGGAGAGATGCCAGCGAGAGCGATGCCCACGCTTCACACCTCATCCAATCAGACAGCTGCCTCAGCGACCACAGCGCCGCAGACGGCCACCACACACAGAACTGACAGAGACAGACCATTACTACACACACTCATTTCAAATCAATCAGTCAGGGTTTAAAAGAAGGAATGCATTTTTAATTAATTAACATAACGGAGTGTGTGTGTGTGTGTGTGTGTGTGTGTTACTGTGGTAACAGGGCACGTGTGTGTTACTGTGGTAACAGGGCGTGTGTGTGTTACTGTGGTAACAGGGCACGTATGTGTTACTGTGGTAACAGGGCGTGTGTGTGTTACTGTGGTAACAGGGCACGTGTGTGTTACTTTGGTAACAGGGTATGCGTGGGTGTTTGTAAGCTATGGTGATAACAGGGTGTGTGTGCGTTACCGTAGTAACAGGGCACTGGTGTGGCTCTTGTATCATCTCTCTGTAAATGTTTCTCTTGTTTTCTGTCTTCTGTTCAGCGTCACACACAAAGTCCAGCAGCCGCTCGGCGACCACACACACTCTCTCCGCTCTCACCCAGCGAGGACACAACCTGACACACACACACACACACATACACACACACACACAGGTTAATAACGTGACACTGTGCATTTGAGGTGAAAAATCTCATTGTGATTTTTCTGATAAAAATTGTGATTGCGATTTAAATCTTAACATTTTACATACAAATTCAGATATTCAATTTTATACAAAAATGTAAAAAACAATACTACTATATATGGCTAAATAAATGAATTAATTTTCAAACTTCAAAGCATCAAGCCTTTATTGTGTTTTCTTCACTCACCTCTCAGCGACGGCGTTCTGACAGTAGCAGAGCCAGAGATACTGCGACGCGCCCAGATTCTTCTCCAGCAGGAGGCACTGCAGCGGCCCGTGTGTCCCCGACACCTCCACCTTTGAACTCAGGCGGCTGAAAGCGGTGATCTGCAGACTGGAGCGCAGACACGCGCACAGAACCACACGCGGTGCAAACGGGGAGGCGCGGTACATGAAGTGAACATTGTGAAGCTGAAGACAAACAACAGAGAAACACTCTGATGGTCGGCACCACTGTCTTGTTTAAAGCCTTTAAAACAGTGTCTTATTCACAGAAATAATGAATCTACTACTGAATTTTGTGATGACATCACACTCACCTGAATCTCTGCCCCTGGCCTCAAGCCGCCGCCCCATTTCTGAGCCGGCTGATAGGCCAGACAAAGCCCCACCTGTCCGTCAATCTCATAAAGCCCCGCCTCTGCGTTCAAGATCTTTGTGACTGTGCCCTGTCAATCAGACACACTGTTACTACAGAAACCAGTCACAGCACAGGTCAAAGGTCACACCTGTTTGCTTAAAGGAAATTTTTCCGCGTATATGAATATGAAGCAAGCGTGTCCTGCAATATTTCATTCCACCACAACTATCTTAAGCAGTATTTTCTGTAACGCTTTACAATAAGGTTCATTAGTTGACATGAATAATTCAACTTCAATAATTCAGCATTTACTAATGCAATATTAAAATCACAATTTGTGTTTGTAAACATTAGTTAATGCACTATGAACTAACATGAACAAACAACTGTATTTTTATTAACTAGCATTAACAAAGCTTAATAAATTGTGTAATAAATGAATTGTTCATTGTTTGTTCGTGTTAGTTAAAACATTAACTAATGATAACAAATGACACATTGTAAAGTGTTACCGTAAGAGATAATTTAAGAAAATCACTTTGAAACACACAGGGCATGTATTTATTTGATTAAGTTGCAGCCTTTGCAATTTCATATTTATTTCAATTGACCATCCAGCCTTATTCCATAGTATATTTATGCATTTCTTTTTATATTGTTTTATGTTAACCTAAAAGTTTATCACGTCTATCTATCATATACCAAAGCTTTTAAACACAGAACGCGATGTAAAATTATACAAATGAATTATTTCTAGTTTCAAACTAGTTTCTAGTACCTTAAAGCTGATGAGCGTGGAGCGCTTCATTCTGACTGCATTGGAGCCGGACGCTGTACCTGAGCGCAGGTGTGTGTCAGAGGTGTGTGTGTCGGCGGTGTGTGTGTCGGTGTGTGTGTCTGCAGTGTGTGTGTCTGTGTGTGTGTCAGCGGTGTGTGTGTCTGTGTGT